ATTGTTGTTTGGCGGGCCCGGGCTGGGGATTCGAACCCGCCACCTAAGGTGTATGTGGCTGGCGCCTTAGCCGCTTGAGCCACAGGCGCCGAGCCCTGATCAACTTTTTTAATATACACATAGTATGTCCATTGTCTATCTAGAGCAAAAGCATTTCATAATGAATAGAAATAATAATTTTTCTAAGTTATAGTAATATATATAAATTGGCCTATATAGTTATTATTTTGCTTTAAAGGTAGTACTCTAATGTAAGTTCTAGGAGAGTTGCCTATTTTCTTTTTTTTTTTTTTTTTGTAGAGACAGAGTCTCACTTTATTGCACTTGGTAGAGTGCCGTGCTGTCACACTGCCGTCAGCAACTTCCAGCTACTCCTGGGCTTAGGCGATTCTCCTGCCTCAACCTCCCGAGTAGCTGGGACTACAGGTGCCCACCACAATGCCCAGCTATTTTTCTGTTGCAATTTGGCTGGGGCCAGGTTTGAACCCACCACTCTCTGTATATGGGGCTGGCCCCCTACCCACTGAGCCACAGGCACCGCCCACCTATTTTCTTTCATTCTTTTTCTTTTTTTTCTTCTTTTTTTTTTTTGAGTCAGAGCCTCAAGCTATCACCCTGGTTAGAGTGCTGTAGTGGCACAGCTCATAGCAACCTCCAACTCCTGGGCTTAAGCGATATTCTTGCCTCAGCTTCCTGAGTAGCTGGGACTACAGGTGCCCTCCACAATGCCCAGCTATTTTTTTGGTCATAGTTGTCATTGTTTGACAGGCCCAGACTGGATTTGAACCCACCAGCTCTGGTGTATGTGGCTGGCGCCTTAGCCTCTTGAGCTGCAGGCACCACCTATTTAATTTCTTTCAATTATTTAAATTTTTTGGTGGCACCTGTAGCTCAAGCAGCTAAGGCACCAGCCACATACACCAGAGCTAGCAAGTTTGAATTTGGCCTGGGCCTGCCAAACAATGACAACTACAACCAAAAATATAGCTGGGCATTGTGGTAGGCACCTGTAGTCCCAGCTACTCGGGAGGCTGAGGCAAGAGAATCACTTAAGCCCAGGAGTTAGAGGTTGCTATCACACAGCACTCTATCCAGGGTGCTAGCTTGAGGCTCTGTCTCAAAAAAAAAAAAAAATTATTTAAATTTTTGAAAAATAATTCTGTCACATGTGGTAAGATTTTGTAACAACATAGAAAGGTTTAAAATGCAGTATAATGGGCCAGACAGGGTGGCTCATACCTGAGTCTCAGCACTTTGGGAGGCCAAGGCAGGCAGATTACTTGACCTCAGGAGTTCAAGACCAGCCTGAGCAAGAGCAAGACCCCATTTCTAAAAATAGCTGGGCATTGTAGCAGGCTGAGGCAAGAGAATTGGGAGGGTGAGGCAAGTGAATTACTTGAGCCCAAGAGTTTGAGGTTGCTGTGAGCTATGATGCCAGGGCACTCAACCCCAGAGTGACTGAGATTGTCTCCATAAAATAAATAAATAAATAAATTGCAGTATAAATGTTTTTTTTCTTCCTCTGGGACCCCTTGTCTTATTCCACAAAGTTTATTTTGTTAACCCTAAACTAATTTTGTTAAGTATTGTCCTAGGGAAAAAAAAATTATACATACATTGAATTTGTTATTTTTCTTGAATGAGATAAATAGTTCTTCATTATTTTCCTGTAATAGTTGAAATTCTAGGAATTTTTAACATATCTGTATTTTATTTTATTTTATTTCTTTTCTTTCTTTCTTTTTTTTTTTGAGACAATGTCTCAAGCTGTCACCCTGGGTAGAGTGATGAGGTGTCATAGCTCACAGCGATCTCACACTGTTTGGCGTAAGTGATTCTCTTGCCTCAGCTTCCCAAGTAGTTGGGACTACAGGCACCCAGCACAACACCTGGCTATTTTTTGGCTGTAGTTGTCATTTTTGTTTGGCAGGCCCAGGCTGGATTGCAACCCACCAGCTCTGGTGTATGTGGTTGGCACCGAGCCAACACCTGTCTATTTTTAGAGATGGGGGTCTTGTTCTTGCTCAGGCTGGTCTCGAACCTACGAGCTCAGGCAATCCACCCATCTTGGCCTCCCAAGTACTGGGATTACAGGCATGAGCCACTGCGCTTAGCCCAGACTTTTTTTTTTTTTGAGACAGAGCCTCAAGCTGTCCCCCTGGG